CCCAGGCAGGGTGAGCCAGGGATCTCCCAAGAGACTGGGAGGAGACCAAGGCTACTCCCATTTCCTGGCACTGTTGGGCACATTGAAAAAGAATAAGGCATGGCAACGCAGGGGTAGAAAATTGCAGCGTATTTTGGATTTAACATTTAAATCACAATACCACATAATTATGTCAGTTGCAAGATAATTACAGGTTTTATAAAAAATACTAATTCCTAGTGCACGGCAGGCAATAAGGTCTGGGAACGGGGCACCAGCTTAGAGTTGCTCGAGGAGACAGACTCCTCTCCACCCTGCTACAGGCCTCTGCGGACGAGGGTCCTTGGAACCTCTGTTGGAAAGAGGGTGTTTCCCCAGGAGCCCCTGGCCCAGTGCCCACCCAGCACCCCCACCCCTGCCCCCTGCATGCTCTATACCTTCTTGCCCCTATAGCTGGGGTGGGTGGGGGCGGGGGCGACAGTGAGAGCCAGGCAGAAGCAAGGGATAGAGTCGAGGAGGGGCTTTCCTGGGCACCTTGAGGGGGTCTTCTCATAGCTGCACTGCCCTGTACTCTGGGCAACCTTTGGGGTGTGTGTGTCTTATGGACACTTCCTGGGGTCCTTGAGGCCCCTGGGCTGTTCTGCAATTCTCTCAAGAGGGTCTGCTTGCCAGCCCTGAACCCCTTCCCCTCTAGAGACGGGACAAGGTGGAACCTGGGTCCCAGGGACCACACTGTCCATCCTCCATCCTCCAGTATCCAGTCTCACTGGCCTAGACTTCGAAGCTTGGTCTTAAGCTGAAGAAGCCTCCCCAGGCCGTAGGCTCTCCAGGGGCCCTGCTGAGGCTGAGCTTGGAGGCTGAGGAAGGACGTCCGGGTCCAGACCCTTGTCAGTTGACCGTACAGTGGATTGCGTCTCGGGGCGACCCCAGGTGTGAAGGTGGAGCTGCCCCATGGAGGTTTCAAGGTGGAGACCTTTCAGAAGCAGATTGCCAGACCTGTCTTCCCAGCGCCTGTGGAGGGGGAGGGCGGGAGGAGAAGGGGAGGGGAGGGTTCAAACAGTTAGCCC